TAAGCTTGGATCAGAAGTCTTCCACCTTAACAAGCTGCTTTGGTAACCTTTATTCCAAGACAGATTTGGAAATTGGGTTTTTAAGATATAAGATATTATTGTTATTCCACAGTAACCTTCTAACACCACAATCTTTTGCGTGCAAGTTCTCTTGGTGACATCTTGTCACTCTTTTTTTTTTTTTTTTTTGCCCTAGGAACAAGTTAATTAATCACTCAAAAATATGTACACTACTTATATACATTAGCTACCATAAATATTTGTCTTCTGGGGCGGGTCTGACTTAATTCATTTAGCAGAATGATCTCCAATAGTATTTATTTCGTTGCAAATGTCAGGATTACAGCTTCTTTTTATGGCTGAATAATCATTGAAAATTTGAATACCTTTCAGTGCTTTCACATCACCATGACAGATCATAGTTAACTGTAGATAATTAAAGGAGAATAACAGAAGGCAAAAGTTGCAGTCCTCTAAAGGCCCTGTTGTTCAGAGCACACGCTAAAGTAGGGATTCTCCCATCAATACCCCTCCAGGTGCAGTTCCCAGAGGCAAGCCATTCCCTGCAGCCCCCACCCTCCTCTGAGGACACCCTCCCAACACAGGCTTCCCACCACAAGCTGCAGAAAGGCCTTGCAAATGTCGGGAATTCCTGTGCAATGTGGATGCCTGGATCATTTCTCAGCTGGATAACTAACTGCTAGGTTTTCCCTATGAGCAATCACTCATTCCAACGAACAACAGTCAATTTTTGTGATATCTGTTTCTTTTTCTTATGTTGTATTTGTTCTGATCATATTTCTTGAAATGATTTTTCCCTGAATCTAATTTTAAAATGGGCATTTTTATGTTTTCATTTGTGTTATAGTTCTCTATTATATTTTTCAGATGCACAGCTCTGTGACATATTTTAAAAAATAATTTCTCCACCAACGATAATTCGCAGAGCACTGCTATGTTCCACACTCCTTTAAACAGCTCTGTAATATAGCACAGCTCTGTTTCAGTGATTGCAGTCTTTTCTCCCCTGCAGAACAGCAGAGTGCTATGTTACATCATCCACTTGACTCTCCAGCTCTAAAATTCTCTGTGGATCATTTTATCTCATTTTCCTACAAGCAGACTGTTGACTTTGTGAATTATCCATGACAAATTTTTACATATACAGCTGGCTTTTTTGCTGCCTCTTACTGCAGCTCTGAATTGTGAGACAGGGCAGGTTTTAAAAAACGAAGAGTATTTAATAATAGCCTAATCAGAAGACAATGCAGTAATTTGGTCACATAAACACCATAGAATTCACCTCAAAGATGAATTTCAGTTAGTTCTTACTACCTGCTACTTTAGATTGCTACTTCTCCCGTCCACTAATAAAGTACCAAAGGTTCAATGTAATTGCATCTGCTGTTTGTCAACCTCTCTCACTTTCCGTTTCACATTTACCATAAAAATATTCGGCCTCACATTTTTAGTGATGATTACATCATATCTCTGCTAACTTCCGTACAAACAACTTCTTTTTTATTTACCTCAGCAGGAACTTAAAAAGCAAAGTATTTTATGTGAAAAAGATGACTTTCCTTCTCCGGAAAAATTGTAGACAAAACAAGTTTTAAAGGCATCCAACTACATAAACTTCCATCTCTAGGGACTTGGTGTCCTGATTCGATTCTCAAACTCTGCACATTTTACCATAGAATCTAACAAGGTTTTCCTTGCTGTGAGTTTAGGGTAAGTAACATCATCACATTATGTATTTCTCGGGATGTTTTCCAAATATTCTGACTGTCTGAAAGTTTCCAATGGTTTTGTGTGTGTGTGTGGTACTGTTTACTGTTAAGGACCATCTGGTTCACTGTAGATAAACAATTTCAACATATGGGCCATCACCCATACATGACTCTGCTCCACTAGAGCAGAAAATTAAGAAAAGGTCGCTCTCCTGATATAATTCATGCAAAAGCAGCAACTCCAAGGAGTTAGGGGTGTGCCCTGAGCTACACACAGAAGTCTAATTCCAATTCCTTTCCCTGCAATTTTTAACCATGTCAAGTTTCCTCAATTTCCTCTTATGCAAATTTAACGAGAAGCTCTGTCAACTCTGGGCCCTCTTTCCTTCCCATTCGTAAGTGTCTAATGCTACTCACAAACACCCAGCACGGTGCTAGAAAATGGGCATACTGATAAAGAAATCAGAGCTGCTTAACAATGATGAACACATAGTAGGTATTGAGAGCAGAAAAAACATCCCAGAGGCAGAAAGTATATAAAAACTCCTGAGATTAGGAGGAACATGGATCTGTAAACATTTATATCCATTAAATTGAGGACCTTGTCAACCAGTAACACACTGAAAAAAAATTCCCACCATTTCCAGATGGTGACTGGATTACTGCAGTGGCAGAAACTATCTGAAATGTGCCAACAACTTTGATTCATCTTGTTGGTTTCATGCCTGTAGTTGGTGAATCTAATAAAACTGCATGAAAATATCATTACCAAACATACACAAGCATTGTAAGCCCACAACATTGTAAATGCTGCAAGAGTGATGAAATAGCTTCCAGAAAACCTAGGAATTCTATGAGTGCCTTCTGTTTCATATTTACAGAACAGCACTAAACACCAGGCAACAGTGATTCAGTGATCTCTCACAAGCGCTTTACTTTCCGAGCATCATTTCCCAGTGCTCAGCCTTGTCAGAGGATGACAGGTGACACCCTAAAGTGAAAAGAGAGATTAGTCATCATAGTCATTTTTGCCTGGTCAAATATATACACATATATACACACACAAACACAAATACAATGTTTATTTTAATGGTTTTCTCAACTCTTGGTTAAAAACTGTACTGTTGACAAAGAGTACATCAAATGAAAAAGAACATTGTTATTGCTTCTCAGCCTTTTGGCTAGGACCAAGTGTGCAAAAGAGTATTGTTTACTCTTTTAAAACATTTCATTAAGATTCAGTTAACTTATTAAATATTGAATTCATATTTTTCTCACTTCCTTTTGATTTGGACCTTTGGCTGCAAGCACAGCGCGCACATGGATTTGTAGCCAGGGAGAAGCAGACAGTTCAATATTCAAGACAGACAAAAAAAACAACTTGCATAACTAAAGTCCTAACAAAACAAGATTAAACACATCTGAAAACTCAGACAAATCCAACTAGTCTTTATGCCCTGTCTCAGACAACATACAAAAGTCATTCCTTGCAACCTGCCCTGGCACTTGCTATACTACACTGTGACCATCTGGGCTGTGTGTGCCTTCGACCTAATGGTGAATTCCTGAAAAGTACAGATGCCATCCTACTATCTTTGTTTCCTTGATGCCTAACAGTGCTGAATGTAGCAGGAACCCAACGAATGCCCATTAATCAAAATAAGAAATAAACTTACTAGATAGGTGAATACTCACGGTGAAGTATCATTAAGTACCAAATTGTCGGCTACCTGTTGGGATTTTAGCAAACTCACAAAGTGTACCCTTGTGCAGTTCTGGGAATCGTAACACGTCTGACATCAGTCCTTTAATTAAAAAGCATTACTTAAGTTCCTTTATTACAGCTACAAATAAACTTTATTTGATGTAATGTAGGAAAACATTTTCAAGTTTAACAACATGTGTCTGACCATAATTCATCATTTAAATTATGAGTATATGTATTTACAGTCACTTCAGCCAGTCTGCGGTTCAGGAATTTGTGTAAGCTGTGTCTGGCCCACCTCCCCTCTCAGGAAAAGGCCACTCCTTCCTGCATCTGGGATGAAGCAAGGTCAATCACAGTTGGAAGACATCCATAATCCATGCTGGAATTCCACTGTGTCCCGCAAGAGGACTGCTTCCTTTATCGTAAGAAAATAAGATGCTCTTTCAGGTCTCTTTTATCAAATGAAGATTAACATTCATTTCCTCCATACAGTTACAGGGACTCTTCAGACCCATCTTTCTGGCTCCTTAGCTCCCATGTATCACATAGGAAAATTCTCTGAAAACACACTATCCACAGAGAGATCACTTCAGTTTCCTGACCTGCCCTTAAGGTCAACCACTCTTCGAAGGGGTAGGGGGTGTCAGGCCACAGAATTACCCAGGCACACATTAGCTATCAGATACAGAGAGCACAAAAACAAATCATCTGGATGAAACAAAATGGGTTCTGGAGCTTTTCCTATGAGGCCCCAGAGATCCCCTCTTCTCCCCCCATTAGTACCGGCCTGCCAATGAGGATTGGCTCGTTCCACCAACGGAAGCACCTCAACCAGTGGCAGATACCCCGTAATGGCCACCACACTTCTTCTGCATAAGCTAGGGCCGTGGGCCAGCCGTGGGCCAGCCGTGGGCCAGCCGTGGGCCCAAGGCACCCTTGCATGAAAAGAGAGTCAGGAACATGTCAATGGTCATGTTAATATATAATGCAGTTAGGTTGTACTCGCTCTTCACCTGGGCAAAAAACATCCTCATAGAAGGCAACCTCCCTCACCTCTCAGGACCCTTCGGAAATGTGAGCCCAGGAAAAGCTTTGTTCCGGCTTTACGCTTCTTTCCGTCCTGAGATCTGTTCCTGAGTTACACCTTCACGATTCAGCAGTTAACAGAGAAAGTGTGTTGGTGGGAGATCACAGGGACCCTGCAGGAAAGCCAAACTATGTGACAGAAGCTTGAAACAAACACTGCTCTGGAAAGTCATTTGTATTAGCTGATGGCTGCATTCTGTTTTCTAACACGAACATGCAACATGTTCAACACTATGCTGACTGCGGTTTGCTTGGAAGAACACACTTTTGTCATATGACGACATGATACTTCCTGTCTCGTGAATGGTTCCTGAATATTCGCCACACGCCTAGACTCGGAAGCCCGGGAAGTGCACCTGGGAGCTCTCTCCCACGGGCGTGGATGTGGACAGAATGCAAAGAAGCACCAGAACTCAGTTCTGTGAGTGTGCTTAGCGCTGAGATGAACTGGCTGCCTGACATGGGAAACTGTTGGCACTGGCACACAAGAGCACTGATCCACAACAAAAGGAGAGCTCACCAGCTCCTTCGCATAAGACTGTACAAGCACATCACCCTGCGTGTCACATCTTAACCATCCCAAGAAAGGACAGAAGCCGCTCTCCATTCTGCAGTCTTGGCAAATGGTTTCGTTCTGTTTCCACCCGTTCTGCTTTGTTTATTTCATCTCCATGATTCTGCTTGGATCATGAATCATGACCTTTTTTTCTACAGTAGTCAGAGTTTTGTCTATAAAGAGAGAGAGAAGAGAGAGAGAGAGAAGGGAGGGAGGAGAGAAAACGATTTAGCAGAACCATAAATGCAAGTTTTCACTTTGTGATGGGTGGACTGAATTTTTTATGGCAGTGGGTAATTTGAGTCATTGGTGGCTTCTAAACGTTTATGAGCACCTCCACAGGGAAAGAAAAAACACTGTAGCTCATTTCATAAATTTCCTAAATCCTACAAGTTGCCAAGCCCTTACTTAATATATTTGCAAATCAGCCCCAAATAACCCACTTAGCAATTCACTTTCATAATATAGCTGAAGCCAAAAATGACTTTGCTCTCCTAAATCCTCACAAAATACTATAGCACTTATCCTACTGGAAAAGAAGAATGCCTACCAACGAGAAACGTTCCCCTCATCACCAAGGAGGCTGTGTGACACTAATCTCTGTGAACAGCAATCAGATATCCTTCTTTCCTCACTTCTGGCCTCTGAGAGTCACGGAAGAAGTGTCGGCCAATGGCTGACAACCCCTTCTTCTGGTGTGAGTCATGCCCCCTTACTGGCACCTACACAGACCTTACCTAACACACTACATGTGTGATTGAGACACATGTCTAGTAGGGCCCAGACCTAGACCCGTGCTCCCAGGCTCAGCCTTCACAGCCCCCTGCCTATTGTTCCTCCTCTTTAAAGATGGCCTGCCTGGCTGACTCAACATATGGACTTCCCTAGGGAAAGCAATTATGTCTCCATAAGACACGGTCTCTGACTTCGTCCCCTCCAGACTCCTAACAATGGCGCCTGAGGTCACTCTTAAGCTCAGACCCAACACTGCAGTTCCTGGGAATGAGGGAGTGGAGTCTTGATCCAGGTAGTGCTTTGCCAACACTGACTTGTGGCCGCAAGGCCACCCCAGCTTGACTGAACCCCAGGCCTCAGCCATAGCACCACCTCTCTCTGCCCCACCCATCGTCCACCCAGCCAGTTGGGATTCCAACTCTCCAAACATCTCAGATACCTTTTTCCTAGTCTCAGTTCAAGCCCTCCTGACACAAATCTCCCTCTTATGCTAACCTCCTAACCTAGCCTATCTCCTGGTGAGAAACCCTTCATACACAATGCACACACACTCTGGCCTCACTCTTGCCTAGAAAGCCTCTTTTCTCTCCCCGCCACCATCATCCATGTGGCCCTCCAACTTCCCTTCAATTGTGGCAACTTTTCACTAATGTTGAGGACTTACCCAGGTTCCTGGTCCACCTCTATTCACATCCATGGCTCCTCTATCCATTCTGTCACATCTAATGTGAGCAGCCCCCAACTCCACCTCTATGCTTACCATCCATTTGTGTTAGAATTCTACTCTTTATTCATGACACACTTCACATGCCACCTCTTTTATGATTTCCACTTTTGATATCCCTTGCCAAATCTTACATTTCTTGTACATTTCTCTGCACTGCTTATTTTTATTCTGCCTTATATAGTTATTATCTACTAAGAAAACACATAGTGTATTAGAAAAACCAAAAGAGGCCAATCATCTATATCTCCTATCTTAGAAACACTGCAAGTTTAAGTGTATGCAATTGCAAAGCAAGAAGAAAATAATTTATTACTATTACCAGTTGAATAAGAATAAAGTATTGAGTTCCAGCTGGCTAATATTGAGGAGTATAACTCTGTGTGTCTGGGGGCTGAGGGGAATCAATGAAATGGCAAATGTGTATTTGCTTCTATCTTTAACAACATGTCCTTCCACAGTCAGTCTGGGTTTCAGGAGCTTCGTGTTTCTTCCCATGAGATCAATCACATTTCATTTTTTTTTTCCTGCAAAATTTAGTGGTTTCCATTTTAAAAGAGTAAAAATCACCCTGCATTCCAAAAGTTCAGCACAAACCCCAGAGCTGCGTATCGACAGAATCGGTGGCAGCAATCCAGGGTTATTCTGCTACAAGTCATTGCTAAGAACCACTGCAATCCATGCTGCTTGTCAAAGACACTTTGAAGAGAAGGATAATACAATCACAAAGGAGAGGAAGAAGAAGGGGGAAGCAAGAGATAGTCGAAGACCATTTCATAACATTTTCACACGTGTTTAAATCTGTTTTTTAACAGGTCTCAGAAATGGTGTCAAATACTCAGAATTATCATGATACTTAAAAAGATACTAAAAAGAGAACATTTATGTCACTTGGAAGCAAATCCAAAAGTGAAGTCACCAATTTCCAAAGAAAAGAAAGACTCTGCTTATATCACTCTGTCACATTTGGTTTTGTATCACCAGGGTCTGGATTCTTATCAAAGGAAAGAAAGATTAAAATTTATAGTAGCGGATTAGAATTACCAGTGCAAAAGTATTTGTGGGCAAGCCAGTGCACAGATGAGTTTTGGCCTACCTGGCTATGTGAAGGACCATAGCTCCTGTTAAGCGGTTGGTGGAAGGCCAGAACTTCCAGTGCACCTCCCTCCCCTAGCTTCCCACTCCTGCTCTGTGAGAAACAACTCCAGGAACTGGGCAGATTACATAGTGACCCTCCAAGGAATATGTGACCTTTAAGCTGATTGGCTGGGCTTGTTTTCCCTGCCCCACCCTATATAAGCTTGTGCTTGGCATCCAATAAATGGACTTGTCCATCAGATTTGTCTTGGGTGATTCACTGCAAAATGTGCTTTCACTGCAGACCACCTCCCCCCCACCAGCTTTTTCCCCCTCTGCTTACTCTGTTGCACCCAAGAAAAATTCTTAAGGGCCTGTTGGACTCCTGCAGCTCTTTCCTATGTTGATCAACAGAATTAGAAGAGGGGGAAGCCAGCATTGTAACACAGTGAGTTAAGCCAGGCTATACAGGCAACCCATACCAGTGCTAGCTTATGTCTCAGCTGTTTCATTTCCTATATAAATAGCTCCTTGTTAATGCTCCTGACAAGGCAGCAGAAGATGGCCCAAATGCTTGGGCTCTGCTATCTACATGGAAAATCCGGATGAAACTTCTGGCTCCTGGTTCTCTAGGTCCAGCACTAGCCAGTGCAGCCATTCAGGAAGTAAGCAAACAGATTGAGGAGAGGACCTCTCTTTGTACTTTTTCTTTCTTCAATAATGCATGGCAGTTCTACAAAAAGAAATGAAAATAAATCTTCCAGTATTGGTACTGATGCAAAAAAATGTCTGATAGACAATCAGCAAAACAGCAATGATTTCAATTTCATAGGATAACTCCATCATCAGAAATTTCCTAAAGGATTTGGACATTGTTTTATTATAAGTTAATGTTGACAAAGTATAAGAAAGGAATAATACCATTCTCAGATCACAGAATAGCAGATTATAGCCTTGTGCAAGAGCCACCTGGCTTCCTCTTTTTGTAAATAAAGTTTTCTTTGTAAAATCATATCCTTTAAAAAAAAAACAAATATTAATGACACAGGCAGAGAGGAGTAGGGTTGACAGATGATTATCAAAGCTTGAAATAACGACTATTCAGCTCTTCGCAGTAAGCTTGCTGACTTCCATGTTAGACTCGCAGGAAAACAGCACCCAAATCTCTCTACTAGCAAAAGACATAAAGGCAATGTCCTTGGACTTCGTGTTGACTGATTATTTTTGTAAAAAAGCACAGCAGCATGCAAGTGAAAATCACTTTGGAACATAGACTTGAGGTTCAAAACAGTCCCCAACCTTCTTTATCTGTAAGAAAATTATTCAACCTCTCTAAGCCTGTGTTCTTATCTTCAGAATGGAGATAAAGGAAACCAACCAATCAGAAAGAACTGGGTATTAAGCAATGTAATTTTCATGGAGTTCACAGCATGGAATCTGACAGTGAACCCTCAGGAAAAACAGTATTATTTTAAACTAGAAAGACTGTGTTACATTTTTTAAAATGACCGTTTTGTGCCCTCACTGTGTTACATTTTTTAAAATGATCGTTATTTATGAGATATTAGCTAAAATGATCAGTGAAATTATTCTCCAGCATCCTGTGTATGATGTATGCAAATCCAATGTTTTCTGGTACTGGACTTTATCTGTCCTTTCCTAGTTAATATATTGTCTGCGTGACTGGACTCATTGCCACCTGTACTTCCCTTCCATCTGCCCTTCAAACTAGTGCCAGAGACTTTCTCAACACATTACTCCTGGTAACTGAAACCAAAGTGTTTTTCACCTTGGTCTACCCTACACAACCCTTGAACCAGGCAAAATAACCTACTTCCTTGTTCCTGGAAGTAGTCACTTCTAGAAGCTAAGCCTGCGCCAACAACTAAAATAACTCACTTAGCGATACTAATAACTTACTCATTAATACTTAATTCAAAGTCCTCAACTTACTCTATGAGTTGATCTAAAGCTATTATGTCCTAAATTGTGCCCAGTCCTCATCAATGCCACAACTTAAAAGTACCATAATACTCATCAATAGCCTGACCTCCCATTCTCCTCCTGTCCAGGGGGGTACTTTCAAAGCACAGATAAATCTATAGACTAATCTGACTCAGAGTTTACAGGGCATCCTAGCTGTCTTCCGGGACAGCTGATGGCCTCAATTTCCAGTTGAAAAACATTCGTCAGTTCATCAATGCCTACAAGCTAAGATCTTTCAAAAAGCAATAAAATGATAACAATATCAGTAGGGGCAGTGGAGTCATCAATACCATAGGAGCTATGTGATCTCAGATCAGCTACTCTACATGTCTATGTCTCCAGTTATTCTTCTGAGAACTGAGAATGTTAGCATCACCTACTTGCAGGTAGCATGGCATATAACATGTTGTAGGTAGTCAATAATTGTTAGCAATCACCTTAATTTATCACACATTAAGGATCAGGCACTATACTAGATTCTCCAAATAGAAATCTGACATCCCTAATCTAGTAGGCAAATACTGGTAGAATATTATAAAAAAGACTTCTGTGGTTGCTCACAGTATATATTCTAGACCAAAAATCCTATTTTTGAATACTATTTTTATACTGTAAACAATTTCACTTGTGTAAAATATGTGGTTATATTAGAAATAAAAATGAATACCTGTGAAACAAACAGCCCACTCAACAATAAGCATAGCTGGAATCTTACAGTTTTTGCACTGTAAGTTAAAGGCATTCTGCTACATTAAGAATGTCCAACATTAGGTATCAGCTGACATGAATGGCGACATCAGCTGTGGTTTATCTAGTTCCCATAGTTGATGTCACATGGGGGGATTGAACAAGGAGACAGGGAGGACTCTCTCAGCTAGGATGTCCCCTGCTTCTCTGGTCTGTTCTTTCCTGCTGGGGTCAGCAAAAGCACACGCCTCTGCCTTCTCTCATGTCCTCCACCATTGCTGTTCTCTCACACCAGTACATTCCATCTTGTCCATCTTTCTTTCCCTCGACTTTCAAATGTGATGATGGCTCTTCTACCTTCAATTTAAAACCAAGTCTTCCTCTGACCTGTGGGCAGCTCTAACGACCATCCTATATCCATTATTCCTGATGATGTCATATTTGTTAACATATGAATCATTTATGAAGTTTCCATTTCCTTATCACCGCTAGTAACTAACTATCCTTTTTCAGATCCCAATACTCTATACTGCAATTGCTCCCTGGAAAACCACCCAAGACTCAGACAAACTCAACAACTTTGGATCTGTTCTTGATTCCCAAGATGATGTGGGAAGTCCCCATCAAATACTCCGATGGCTTCAAAGACCTTGCCCAATCCCAAGCACCTTCCCATCCAGAGCAACCAACTTCACACACGACTCCTCCTGTTTAGCCTGTGTGAAGATAAATTCATTCGAGAAAGATCGTTTTTACTTTCTGTCACAAAAGAAAAATGTATCAAAGAAGGATGAGGTCATCAAGAATTGTGCTGTACAGAAGAATATCAACAACTAAAATGATGACGTTACAGGAATTTGACTATGTGGACAGAATTCGTGTACCACTTATAAGACAATGGATGGGAAATATCACCTTCGTTGTTTCACCCACATCAACTCCAATTCATCAGCCGGGAATCAGTTGCCTCTTCCAACATAACCAAGCACTTATCTCTGGCTGTTGAAACTTGACCGGGTGAGGGACAGGAGACTATTCTACACTACATTCACATCTGATGTGTCTATAGAAAATTGGCTACTGCTTCAGGAAACTTGCTATGACGCATATCAAGGAGTTGCACAAAAGGGTTGAGGGAAGAAGAGGCATAAATAATTGTAAGTAACCTTACAGTGCAAACTCAGATCTTTCTGGCCTCTCAGCTAGCTTCAGGGCCTCGTGCATGCCTGCGGCAGACAGCTTCCGGTTGATATTCCGGTACTGGCACTGGAGCAGGCTGCGGTAGGTGGTCCTCAGGTCCCGGTTGAAGAAGGCATATATAAAAGGGTTAATGAGAGAGTTTGCATAGCCAAGCCACAGGCATGTCCTCTCCACCCACAGTGGGATGCAGCTACAGGCAGTGCCACAGATGAAGGGCCTGGCGGTCGACAGGAGGAAAAAAGGCAGCCAGCACACGGTGAAGGCCCCGACAATGATCCCCAAGGTGGTGGCTGCTTTCTGTTCCCTCTTAAAGATGGAGATGTTTTTCCTCTCGTGCTTGAGCAGTCTTGAAAGGTTTGCACACTCTTCCACCTCCTTCTGCAGCTTCACCATGCCATTCAGGGAGAGGATGCTGTCTGGCGGCACGCGGGGAAAGCCAGGGAACTTGTGCTTGGCAGCGCTCTTCCTGGCAGCCTTATAAATCCGGTAGTACATGAAGAGCATGACGGACATGGGGATATAAAACGCCACTGCCGTGGAGTAAATCGTGTAGCCAAAATCCTGGCTGATCAAGCACACTTTGTCGTCGTTGACGTTCTGAGCCCAGCCGAAGAGCGGGGGCAAGGTGATGGAGGCCGAGAGGAGCCACACAGACAGAATCATCTTGGCCATGCATTTCCCATTCTGCCTCACGGGGTAGGTGAGGGGCCTCGTGATGCCCAGATACCTAGGAGAGAAACGGAGAGGGGACAGTGAAGAAGGAACTACCAACGCACACAGCACTGCTGCTACTCCTCGGCACAGCCTTCTCAGGGGGACTTTTTTAAGTTCTCATTTTGCAGAATGGGTGAGCTCAGGCTTGCAGGTGTTCACTCTTTCGCTCCAGGCCGCACTGTCCGTCAGAGACACTGCCAGGACTCAGCCCCCAAACCCTCTGACTCTAATATTAGTCCCATGCTTTTTCCCTTTCTACTAGCAGCTCGCAACCCCTGTAGTCAATGAACAAGAGATTAAACAGCTGCCCTCCCACCCCGTAACCACAGCTGCCACGATCGATGAGGAGCAAGCCATCAAGCCTGACGTGGAATGTTGTGACATACCCTTACCAATGAACCCAAGTATCTCACACCGAAATAACATACGCCCACTGATCTCCGTGGACTCCTCAATTCAAGCTCATTCTTAATTCATTTTATCTTTAAAATGCACTGAACCAAAAAATAATTCTTACAGATCACAAAAATAGGTGAGATACTTTGAACATTCTTGAGTTTCAGAACAGAAGATAGGAAGATACTTTTTTTTTTAAACCTCCAGAAAATTCTCCCATGACAACACTGTCAGAGAAACCATGGGAGAAACACACTACCTCATCTCTCCGGACGCTGGAGAATCATCTCTAAGGGTACCGTGCTGAAAAGCATTAGGCAAATCTAACACTTTCTCCACATGGAGTTCTATATAGGAAATAAACACTTTTCCAGTATTATCAAGAATTTGTCATGCAAAAGACAGTCAACAGAGAAAACAAATATGGTAAAATGTTTCGCTAAAAGCTGAACATTTTTAACACTTATTTTTTCCACCATGCTTAACTACTCTTTTGAAGAAGAACATTTGAAAAGCAAAAATGGGCAAAAGCTGGCTACTGTGCTGTTGTTGCTGCCCTCTTTACGTTTATAAAAGACACAAGCTTGAAACACAAAAAGGGGAGTCAGAGAGACCCTGGCTCAGTGACTGCTGATTTTTCTGAAAGTCTGTTTATTTGGAGGTTAAAATATTAAAACTAATAATTATTTCTGAAAATACTATTGACATGTAAATTATACCATAGAAGTCCCAAATCATGCTTTCATTAGTGGAACACTGACAACAACGCAGGATTGAAATACAACAAAAGGAACGATCTTTTTTCATTGGATTCATTGGATCTGCTTATTCAGCGTGACTATCCATTTATTCCTTTAACAAATAAAGTTGTTTCTGCATGCCAGGCACTGTTCTAAATGTTGGGGACATGCAGTGATGTAAGGAAACCAACATCTTGAATGCAGACCTATGCAGAAATCCTGCAGAAGGAAGGGGTTTGACACCAGGATGCTGCAGAAGGAGGCTCTAATCCCTTCCAGGGGCTCAAGGGCTTACCGCCTGGCTCTTCACTTCCCTGCCCTGACCTTGCCTGCCCCTGAGGACCCAGAAGCACTCACTCTCCAGGGGTTCATCAGTAGCCATGAGGGTGATGTCTAAAGGAGGGAAAAGACAAAGGCGTTCCTGATAATGCAAGAGCAGAAACTGAAAGAGCAAGGAGAAGGAACTAACGAGGAGGAGAGACGGAGTAAGGTATATACAGGTGACAGAGAGAGGAAGAGAGGGAAAAGACAGAAGAAATATAAAATAAGGTTTGCTTTATGTGAAATTGTGGGAGATTCAAGCTATGGAAACAAAATTAAAAAAAAAAAAAAAACAACTTAAGAGAAACGAGATGAGGAATGAGGAAACCCCTGAAGATGTCAGACCTGTCCACAATGAGGCAGCCCTTGGCCTGCAGCAGAGTTCAGACTATTTTTCCTATTAAACAGATCTCCCTTTTTAGCCAGCATTATAACACAACAAGTTAAGGTACCACTTGCAAAGCTGGCATGTCACATCCAATGCCACTTCTAGTCCTAGCCTCTTGGCTTCCCATCCAGCCCCTGCCAAGGCAACTGGGAAAGTGGCAGATGACAGCCCAGGTACATGGGAGACCCAGACGGAATTCTAGGTTCTTGGCCGAGGCCCAGTTTCAACCTAGCCGTTGCAGCCATTTGGGGAATGAACCATCAAGTAGAAGATCTCTGTGTGTATGTCTCTCCCTCTCTGTTGCTTTGACTTTCAAATTCATAAATTTTTTTGAAATTTTCATGGAAAAATATACTTAAAGGTAACCTTTTTTAAGAAAAAAGTTTCCCTTTCCTTGCTTGGCTTTAAGAGTACTGTTTCCTTATGGAAGTCCTTTGCAGGTCTCTCTTCTTGCTCTGTGCCTGCTCTTGTTCCCAGTTTCCCCACGCATCCTTTCCCAAGACTTGGCCTTTGGTTTCCCTTCCAGCTTTGCCTGCAGTCCAGACATAAACTGCCTGTTCCCCAGCCAGGTCAGGCTGAAGCCTCAGGCCTGCCAGAGTCCAGGTCCAACATGCAGATTAGTTCATCAAATTCCCCAGGTGGCCACCAGATGGCATTGTCAGCCACCTTACAAATACCTAATGGGATGGGAAGGGTTGGCAGATGGTTGGAACAAGATTGTGACAAGGAAGGAAATGGGATTACTTACACCAATAAAAGATGTTATATTTTATTTGTGTGGTATTAGAAAAAAATTAGCAATCTTTGGACTCGCAGCCTGGCAAATGGCTAGTCTTGAAGTCAGTTCAGTTTTCCCTTCCATTCCCTCAGCATCTTCCTTTCTGGAAGGAGACACTACACTGTCAGGCTTACTGAAAAACCCAGGGGTGTCTTTGCTTTAGTAGTAAGATGATCACATGCCATATCAGAATGCCTGGGTGTGACAACTGCTTCCAAGTACTGCAGACCCTGGGAGGCGGTGGTAATGACTCCAGCAAACGGGTTCCTGAGTCATGGGAGAGACCTGGATTAAGTTTCCAGCTTCAGCCTTCACCATTAGGGGTATCTGCAGTCTTATACTGTGTACATAAATAATACAGAACTGACAGATTAATCATGGGAAATTAATTAATGGAGTACCAAAGAAGAGTTCTAAGATATTAGTGAACCTTATGGAAACAGTATCTTCACTCATTCTAGTCTTCATAAAGTGATGTGAATTGATGCCTATTCAGTCTTCCCTACATGTTCAAATTATATCCTATAGATTTTGTCCTGTGACTCCCAATGAAACTGTTAGGTTATCTTGACAATGCAATGCTGGATCCTCTGCCATTGCCTATGCCCACAATGATGGACTTACCACTGTTTATGAAGAACTGTAGTATTGTAATAATACAGAGGAAATCAGTGGGGGAGGGAAGGGAATTTGGGCAAGGGGTAAGGGAAATCCCTGAACCTATGGAACTATATCAGAAAATAATAATAATAGTAGTAAATGCAAAAATGGTCCTATGTAAGGCTACATTCTCCATTATTTTCAAGTTATACTCTCTAGTAAAGTAATTCTTCAGTTTCCTAGGTACCACCCTGTAAGAATCTAGGAGGTCAGAATAAAGATAAACAAGATAAACAAACAAAAATAAATAATTATGTGTTAAAAATGAACAATTAGAGAACATTTGGGAGAGTAAAACTTATTAACAATGATCCAAAATCTCAATATTAAAATTTCAAATATATGACAAGGATTCATTTAAAGAAAACATGGAATTCTTCAATATGCATAAAAGAATATCTGAATCCAACAAAACAAAAAAAAAACACCTTTTTTTCTCCAATATGGAAATTCATACCTTAGTGCGAATTTTCCCCTCAATCTATAACAAGGCCAACTAAATAACCTAGCAATAATTTTAATTTAATTAGATAATTTTAAAACCATCAAGTCAGAATGCAAAAATGGATCAAGAAACGGCATCTCCGTTTTTTAAAAAAAAAGCTAGTATTCTGATCACCATAATGCAATAGGTCCCATCCGTGAAAAAAGAACACTGCTTTCTTATCTTTTTCCTTCTAAAACATAAATCCCAGATGAATTAAAGACTATCATGTAAAATTTCAACCCAGGGCACGTGTTGAACCTGGTGGTGAAGATGCCCACATCCCACATGAGAGTGCTGGGGCTCCATTCTTGGCTCCTGACTCGGCTCCAGCAGGCAGCACAGACAGGAAGAGGAGTTGGGTATCCTGGCTCCCTGCTTCTGCCCTATCCAGCCAAGTCACTGCCGGCGCTCTCTCCACTCTTCTGCCTCCCCCAAAACGGACGAAAGAGAACAGGTGTTTCTGCAAGTTCCTAATAACAAAGGGCATTCTTAACCAGGATAGAAAAACTTACAAGTATAGGATGTGACACTGATAAATTTTAGTGACAAAAACTGAGAAAAAAACTAGATAAATAGCATTTGGTTGAATTTAAACATCTGTGCTGAGCTAAAATCAAATGGATCAGGAACAAAAATGGCAGTATGCCAATATTCACAGGTCGCTTACAGGGTAACTTCCAAAAAGAAAAAGTCATTCTAATAAAGAAGCCTGAAGCAATTAAGCAAAAAATAAGCTATTGTCCTGGCCAATAAACACTTCCAAATAAGTAAGAATTTCATTAATAATCAAAAACATAAAAACTTTTAAAAAATGACATATATTTTGATCATCTGCCAATTTTTAAAACAAAAGCCAATATGATAAATTTGTAAGAACACACACACACACACACACACACACACACACACACATTCTAATACTCTGCTAGTGAGACTGTCAGTTGGGATTACAATTCTGAAAGGCAGCTTCCCAAAATCATTAGCACTGACCCTTGGGCTCAGAAAGTCACACTTAGAAATTTGTGCAAATGTGAAATAACCAATCTGCAGAAATGCTAACTAACTACATATCAGAGAAAAAGGATGCAATCCAGGTACCCATCACTAAGAGATCAGATAAATTATGGAGGGCTTTTTTATATACACATATTATAATGTATATATGTGCAATCAAGAGATCATTAAAATGATACATATATGTATTTATGACAAGGAAACAGAATACAGAAAAACAATAGACTAT